ACAAATTATGGATAATGTTCCTAAGGTTATATATAAAAAATTTTTTTATACACAAAACATAGCATTAAATAGACGTTACAAAATACAACATAACAGACTAAACAGAAAATTTGATTGGTTGGTAAGGAGACACACTATGGACAATATTAAGGAAATTAACAACATTAATTACTTTTGGCAACATAACGAACAAACTGTGCATATTACAGATAACCAGAATTTACAAGTCAATGGTGTGTCTACTAAGCAGATTTACATTCCAAAAACCACTAAACAATACACACGCGGAAACTATTAACATTAATGTATCAGTGACAGCATATTAGGAAGAAAAATATGACATATTGGAATCGAATGGTAATTGGTTTGTAAATCTGAGCAAAGTCTCCATTCCACGAGAAGTACAAGCGTTGTTACAGCTGGGTCATAGGTTTTGCTTACCGTTACACAATGTCCAAACAGCTACTATCAACCTTATCAAAAATATAGAGTATAATTTTTAAAGAATAAAAATGCCTAATATTTCAGAATTAAGAAACAAGATTATACCTTTAATTAACAACATCACGTTAAATAAAATAGCTTGAGAAAAAGATATGGTCATTATATCTATCGACAAAAAAATTTATCAACAACAATCCAGACATTCTATTTATGCAAGCGGACAAGGGTAATATGGTGGTTAGAATGGACAAGGCGGAATATATTGTGAAAATGGAGACGATGCTCAGCGACAATAACACTTACATTAGTATTTCGCGCAACCCGGTGAATAGGATAATCACCAGTTTGAAGGATATATTGAAGAGATGGAAACGAGATGATTTGATTAGTGATGCTAAGTACAGATATCTTAACACTGCTAACTCAATTTTACCAAGAGCATATGGCGTGACTAAAGTACACAAAAATGGTTATCCGTTACGGATAATAATATATCATCTATAGGATGATATTATCCTTGCATAACCTGGCAACCTTTTTGCACAAAATTATAGTAAAAGGTTTGCCTTCAGCAAAGGGTTTCATTAGTAACAGCTTTCAACTTGCTAAGAATCTAGATAAACTAAAAATCTCTAATGACGATACTCTTTTTTCGTTAGATGTGGTTTCTCTATTCACAAACGTTCCAACGGATTTAGTGTTGGATGGTATCAATAATAGGTAATAATAGGTAATAAATGGCATTTGATGCAGGTTAACACATGTTTATCTAAGACAGAGTTTTTTAATGCGATTAAATTAATTCTCGACTCCACATTTTTTACATTCAATGACAAATATTGTAGACAATCCTTTGGAGTTCCCATGGGCTTTTCTTTATCTCCAGTATAATTGCAGACAATTTTACAAGACTTAGAGATATTTGCTTTTAATAGATTGACGACAGAGCCTTCATTTTATATACGTTACGTAGACGACATTGCATTAACAATTAACAAAACACACATTAACGATCTCTGTCTTACTTTTAACAGCTATCATCCACGTCTTAAATTTACACTGGAAGAGGGATGTGACAAGCTTAATTTTTTGGATTTAACTTTGATCAAAAAGACTCCATATTCCATGACTCCATATTCACTGTTACATTCGCATTGTCAAATTAGAACAAATTTGAGTTATTTTTAATCACTCCCGTAAGTCGCCATTGCTCTTACTAAATAAATCGTTAATTTAACTAAAACGATAGGGTTAAATATAATAATTTAACTCAGAAAATGTATTAAATTTGACTCAAATTTAATTCATTATTTACTAAATGCATACGTTAATATAACTCTTTGACTTAGTAAAAAGTAACTCATTATTGTGTTTTAATTTACTAATATTGTTAATCTAACATGTGTTAAAAAATACTCAGGTTTGGATTAAATTTTACATATTCTTATCGTTATTGTGAGCACATACTGATAGTTAAATTAAATTCTTATTCTAGTTATATGTACCTACAGGTTCAATTTATACGGTTCCATCGTATAAAAATCAACTATAATTTCGGATCGATTTATATTTTATCTTTTTCTAATTATAAGCATTAAAAAAAAATAAAAAGTAAATTAAACAGAGATTAAAGTTAATTTTTATACAGTGGAACTGCGTAAATGGAATCTATAGATACATATAACTACAATAGAATAAAAATTAATTTAACTGTCGCAGTATTATATACCCATAAAACGATAAGAATTAAACAATAAATTATATCAAAGTTATTATTAGCTTTATATTGTTGGAACTGGATCTTAATAAATCATACAATTACATTTCAACGTAGTTTAACTAAAAAGTAATATCAATGTAAAAAGCAATAGCAATATATATATAATATATATTTTACTTCTTAAAATTATACAAAATAAACAAATACAAATTATCTTTGAGAGGCTAAATAAAAATTAACAATTACACGAATATTTTTATATTATGCGTACTACACATCTTTAGTCGAACATACTTTGTTTAGTAAACATATATAATAATTTTTGTCACCAATAGTAAATGATTTACGTACCCAATAAGTTCTAAAATCATACAACGCTGATTTCTTTATATATATGTAATCTTCTGAATAACGCACAACATAAGCATGAAAATGATCATCAAAACCAAGTGTTACAAATACATGACAATAAAAATACATAGAAGTACCAGATACATAGAAGTATCAGATAGAAGACGAAGATACAATTTGAGTTATAACACCGAACAGTGGTAAATTTTCATTATGTGAAATTAATATTAAAAACTTCACCAGTTCTGTACATTATATTCTGAACTTTTGCTGGTTTTGCAATTGTAATTATTGAATCAACAGTTAAATTCTCTGTATCAAATGTTGCTTTCAAGAAAAGTTCATGGTTTTCCAATAAAGCCACATTTTTAACAGTAGTGCGTTGTAACTCGGCCATATTTGCAGATTCTCCAAAACACTTTAACTTCCCTAGAATTGCAGCCTGTTTAATTTGATTCCTGTATGCAAGCGTTTTACTCACATTAATGAAATTACCACTGGTAGCTGCCATTTTCTTAAAACTAAAATGCCTGTTTTCATTATGCATGTTCCAGTACCTGATAGGAGGACCTAATTCTCTTATAACTCGGGGATAATATACAAGAAAGTGTTGTTTTGATGTCAAATGTCGCTCAGGAAAAAGAAATAAAAATAATTGATGATGCTCGTGAATCATCTCTTGTAATAAAAACGTTTCACTTACTGAAATACGTGGGGCCATAACAATATCGAGAATATTTAATATAAGAAGATATAAATGTCAATAATTATTACCTATTGGAATTTTGTCACCTACGAGTAAAGGTAATATTTTAATTAAGCACCACATTTGAACTGCGCTTTGCCCCGTTGAACCACCAGGCTTATTCAGTTGTTCTTTTGTTAATGCAGTTGGTTTGTTCTTAATATCACAAAAACCATAATCGAAATTTTTCAAGCGAGCATTTAACAAAGATAAAGTGAAGAACTTGTCAATCAATATAAACTGTCTTAAAATAAGTCTCAATTCTAATGATCCCCAACCTTCAAATATATCATGCATACAGTCAACTGTAAAGTTTTTCGTAACATGCGAATAACCTAGTACATTAAGGCAACAACTATCATTAATTCCAGTTTCAGAAACGGTCTTGATTCCATTTAATACGTCTGCCAGTTGTTCTCGGTAACTTTGCGATGTCCTTTCAAATTTAGCAGAAATCTCTATAGTACATGACTTCATGTCATTTTTATGTAAAGTATAAAATCTATAATAATAATTACCAGTAAAACCTTCCACCAAATAATTTTTGAATTCCTAAGTTATCTCCAGTAAATTGCCATAAAATAAATTTTAGATTATGTTCAACGCCATTTTCATAGATTGTTATGCCATCTCTTTTTAACTCTTCCAATTCTCTAATAAGAGGCTGCAAAATTTGATTGTAACCATATTTCTTAACGTCAACTGCATAATGTATATTACAAAGAAAAATATTTTCGAGATAAGACATATGTGTAATAGGCAAATCCTTTACTGTAAAATAAATAAGGCCAAGTTTATGAATTCCAGTTTTTGAATTTAAAGGATTTGCAACTTCAACATCATCTATGTAAAACTCTAATGCTATTACATTATCATCAGTAGACAGAATTTCATGATTTCTGTAATAAGCGCCTTGTTGGATATTAATCATTTCATTAATTTCATTTTTAGCTCTTCGTTTATATTGCTTTACAGTGTTCAAAACACCATCAGAAGAAAAAAAATTTATGAGCATTTCTTTTAATGGAATTTGTTGGAATGTTTCTTTCACTTGTGTTAAACACATCCTACCTGACTTATATCTACTTTCATAACGTGCTCCTAATTCAACTTCTACTGGTGCTACATAAGTTGACCAATTTTTTGCTAAGTTCTCTAATTTTGTTATAGTAGAATAAGGCTCTAAAACTTGTGACAAAATATAAAATTCTTGTAAAAGATTGTTGTATTGCTCTGAATCATTATTCTCAATAAATGTATCTATTGTTCTTTGTTTTAAGTAAAGAATGCAGTGTGACATTAAGTCTGACGTCTTCTGAATACTGTTTACGGCAGCAGTGACTGTAACATTTTCTTGTGCTAATAAATCAACTGCAGTGCTGTGCAGTTGCATTTTCAACTCTTTCAATAGTACATTCTGACATATTGTCATTATTATTGTAAGATTGAATTGTATCAGAAACTGTAAAAGAATCTACAGTGTCTGCTCTTAAGTCATTAGTTGTCAAATTATGTGTGGAAATAACTTTTGATTGTTCATGAATACTGCTAATATTATGATAATTTTTACAATATCGAATAAAATTATACACTTTCATAAAGATCTGGTAACAATTATTTTCAGTACACACAATAACTTCGCCATCTCTAATACCGTGGAATAAACGAATATGTCTACGTAATGTTTCAGTTTGATGAAAGGTTTTTGTACACTTTGGACATTTCATGATTGTTCTGAGTAACAAAATAGCTGCGCTTTTAATTCTCGTACAGAAGCTGGAATATTCTTATCACTAAGAGTACCAGTTTTATAAAATACAACATCTAAAAAATACCATACATTTTTGCAGAATTCAGAGTAATGTATGTCACAAACAAAATGTATTTTAAAACACACGTCTACACCTTTTAAAACAGTTGGCACGTTAATGGCATGATTCTCTACAATGACAAATATTTGTCTTGGTCGAGATTCTTCTCCAGTGAGTAGAATAAACGGTTGCTTTCGATGCTTATCTGATCCTAAACGATCATTAACAAGGTAGTAATCCAAATTTGTTGTTTCCTAGAAAGAAATATCAGATTTACCAATGCAAAATTGCATAATATGAATAATAATTGCTGATAATGAGTGCAGTGCCGATATACAGTTTGTGTAAAAAAATGTTTGTTTCTGAGAAAAGTATTGTAGATGTTAAATATAATTTTGATAACATAAATTATAAATCTCACAAAATTATGAAATATTTAATACTCACAGGAACAACATCGATAAAGTGCAACTTAGAAATCTGTGGAGTTGGTTTGATCCTCTTAACAGTTTCCTTTTTATCTCCCTCTTTGATTATAAATACCATTTGAGGAAGAAGAAATGGAAGCAATTGCAATGCAATTATGATCCGGTCAGAATCTGTTTTCGAAAATTATATGAAAACCAAAATTATTTTAAAATCTGAAATAATATTTTATTAACCTTGCGCACTTAATTCTTGTGCAAGCTTTGCAGCTCCTGTACGACCACAATTTTTGGCTTGAAAGATTAATCTTTGGAAAGTAATCCGAATTCATTACAAAGAGAATCTTCTTGTTGTTGTGAATATCGTCGTACAAATTCTGCGTCTATCTATAAAAGAAATCAAAAGATAATACTTAAGTATCTGTTGCTCTCTCTCTCTCTTTCTCTCTCTCTCTGAATAAACCATTATATTTGATATAAATACAAATAATTGTGTATATATTTACAATTTCTACATCTAACAAACGAGGCCAAGCGTCAAGAATTTCCGTAAGAGTATGTTTCTCTTCAAAAATAAAAATGTGTCTCTTGCAGCTGCAGTATCGCGCATACGTTCAATTACAATAGATTTTGGCGTAGAGTTTTCTTTCAACCATTGCTGCATTTGAAGAATATGTTGGCTAATTGCTGTGTTTTGTGTGGAACACTCTGTTATCTCTTTACTGCAATCATCACTTTTTTTTTCTTGTGCGATTTGATTCCAAATGCTGCTTTATTCCCAGGACTAAGACGTTTTCTCCAGTTTCTAATTCTGTCTTCTACCAGATGTCGCGCTTTTATTTTGTCCTTCATAAAACCACTGTTTCTATATAAATTTTAATTCAGTAGTTATGATAAATTGAAAATCCATAAGCTTTTTGTTACTTACATAAGCTTTTCCCTCATGACCTTTCAAAGATGGAAATTCTTTTATAATTAACTGTGCCAGACTGACTTTCTGTGTTGTACGAGGGAAAGGTCCATATTTATCAGTGAGTGCCGAAACAAACAGTCGATTAATTCGTTGTTTGTCACACCAGCCAATTTGTTTGCGTTCTGTTAGCAAGGACAAGATATTTGGATATTTCTTTTGCAATATTTGTCTCAGATCAAGGTCAATTTTATTCAAAGACATATGTGCACAGAGAACAGAATGATCAGATGATGATAATGAACTGGCACTTGTTTCAGGTACACTTATTATTTCATCAATATTGTTACTGGAAACAACAGAACCATGTAAATCGAACTCGAATAATACTTCGTCTTGTAATGACTTATATTCAGCTAATAGCTTTGCAAATTTTAATCGTGGACCGGCTAGTGGAATAAGAATCTTCATTACATCCATGTCTAACAATTTAAATGATTCTCCATCAATTTGTTCTCCTGTTAAGAGAATCTAATTTAAGAATATTATATAATTAACATTTTTTATTATTATAATTAAAACATTTCACTTAATTTACTATAATACATTATGTCACACTACTGATACAATTAATCTGATACAATTAATCTGACGTTATATTATTCGAAAACGTTTACAATACAAAAAAAATTCCTCATAATAGTAATATCAAAGAAGCTATTAACTGCATTAGTACGATATATAATATATAAAATATCAACACTGTTAAGTATATTTTGACACTTACGACGAAAATTATCTATAAAATCTTCAAATCCCCATTCTTTAAGTTTTGTAGCTACGACGTCATTCATGGTGTTGACCTTAGCTATTATCTGCGAAACAATT